GGGAAAGAGCAGGTGGTTATAAGAAAGAGCTGACCTATCTCTGAAAAAAAGGTAACCCTTGTACATTGCTGATGGGAATGTAAACTGGTACAGCCACTGTGGAAATCAGTATGGAGGTTTCTCACAAAACTAAAAATAGAACTACCATAGGACCCAGCAATCCCACTCCTGGGTATATATCAAAACAAAAACAAAAACGCTAAGTTGAAAAGATACATGCACCCTACTGTTCCTAGCAGCATTATTTACAATTGCCAAGATATGGAAGCAATGTAAGTGTTTCATCAACAGAGGAATGGGTAAAGAAGATGCGGTAAATATATACAATGGAATACTGCTCAGCCATAAAAGAGAGTGAAATTCTGCCATTTGCAGCAACATGGATGGACTTGGAGGGTTTCATGCTAAGTGAAATAAGTCAGGGAAAGACAAAGACTGTATGATATCACTTATATGTGGAATCTAAAAAATAAACAAATGAATATAACAAAACAGAAACGGACCCATTAGACATAGAGAGTAAACTAGAGGTTACCAGTGGGGAGAGGAAGCGGAAGGGGCAAGATAGGGGTTAACAGGTACAAACTGCTAGGTATAAAATAAACAAGCTACAAGGATATATTGTGCAACACAGGGAATATAGTTATTTTATAACTATAAATGGAGTATAACCTTTAAAAATTTTGAATCACTGTATTGTACACCTGTAACATATAATATTGTACATCAAGTATACTTCAATAAAATAAAATTGTAAGAGAACGGGTTACTCAGAATCCTAGGATAGGAACCCTCCCCAACCGAAAAAAAACAAAAACGAACTGAACCATCTCCCTACCTCAACAGGCACTTCAGAAAAGCACCTAAACTGAGGAAAGATGCTTTCTTTGATGACACTCTTTTAGGCTCTTCGGGGATCTCTTTCCATCTGGACACACATTTTTTAACTTTCTTGGGTGCAAGGGAGGAGTGAACCACCAACTCCGGAGATTCGGGCTCAACAACTCTTCTTTGTTAACTCTGGTCTCCAAAATTGCCCATGGCTGCATGTTCACACGTGTGGGCACTGTGCCTACAAGCTCAGAGACCCATCATACATGCACTGTCACCTTCACAAACACCCTTGTGTCCATTAACTCAAACCTAAGCACAATAGTCACACACCAAACTCCACACTTATACCCCACACACATCTCAGGATCACAGCTGGCAGCTGCTCTGTTAAGATCTTTACAGTGCCTGGAGTGTGGTTGCTTTTCTACTGCAGGGAACCAAGAGCCAGAGGCTGCCCTGCCCAGGACCACCCCCAAAGTGGCTAGTGAGCCAGCCCCAAGTTAATTGACAGATCATAGGGAGAGATACTGCACATTTTGCATGCAGGAGAATAGCCATTATTTGCATATCACTCTCAGAGCAAGCGTTGTGATAAAGAAGAATTAAACACTTGTCAAAATGAATTTAAAATGACAGCATCCCAGGACACCAATTTGACCTCTCCTGAGTCTAGGACAAGCCAAGAAGGGGTTGTTGAGAATTCAAGCCCTGCAGGAGGGAGTTCCAGGACTTTGGGCCCACGGGAGGGGCCCCCCCCCTCCCCTCCCTTTCCTATGGCCAATAGAAGCTCATCATTCCTGCCCTTCCTCATAATGAGATTGGTTTGGAGCTTCGGTGTGTGCCCGACCCTGAATTTCTCCATTGCCTCCTACTGCTTGCTCGTGTGTCTCAAGTCCTGCCTCTCAAGCTCACCTTCCAGTTGCTACTACAGAGTAAGGAGTCCCTGGGCTGCACAAACCCCATCACTAGTAAACTTATCTGATTTCTGGAGGCCACTTCTTTACTCATCTGCACCAAAGTTAGTTTTATATATGGTTAACATTCCCGGCTCCAAGATTCCGGAGTTCGTATTGAAAGAGAGATGTAATTACTCCTCTGCCAGACCAGTCCAATGCCAATAGCTGAGTGAGGCAGAGACTACTCTCTTTAAGCCTCCTGCTCCTTGAACTTAGTAGATGCTCAGTAATTTTGATGGACTAGCACATCATGCTGGACTCAACAGAAGATCATTTAATAGTGAGTGGCCGAGACTGAAGATCTCTGAGGGCCAGCATGGGGATGTATCTCCTAAGAGGCATGCCTATCTTCCATAACACTTCTTACCGGAGACTGATGCTGTCTCCTTTTATGTTCTCTGACATGAAACCTTGAGTCTTCTCTGTGGCATAGAAATGTTACTGGGAATTTTAACTTTCAATATGCTTTTCCAGTTACCAGGCTATTTGTCATGACCTGTGTCCTTTAAATTTCCCTGGGAGTGAGCAGGGGAGATACGATTATCTTTCAGATGAGTTCCAAGAGTGACTGCCTG